ATCTGATGAAGGGTCTAGGCCCGAAACGTCAGTCTCTCTGCTCCTATGATGCTGCTTGGCCTGCTGTGTTCATCCAGCCCTGCACCTTGTTGTCTCGGATTCTCCAGCATCTGCAGTTCCTACTATCTTTGTTTCTGTATAGTTACTTTCTAAGTTCCTTGTCATAGCGTTTTGTGTATGACATTTCTTCCTTGGACGTAATATTTAGTCTAGTTTTGCTTAGCTAGGCAGAAATCCTCATGACATTTAAGAAGTATTCAAAAGTGCACGTGATATCAAGGTTTGTAAGGCTATCAGCCAAGTCTTGGAAGATGTGGTTAGAATAGTTAGGTGGTTATTTTTGACCAGTCAATGAGCTAAAAGGCTGTTTTCTGTTCAATAGACCTCTATGACTCGATGATCTAACATCCAGCACTCTCCTGTTTAGCATCAATAAGAAATACAACAAAAGCTCTGAATTCAGCAATTGAATTTACTGCACCAGTCCATATAATCCTGGGTACCCTAAGCAGCCTCCTCCAGCAGCTGCTGGTACTATCGTTAATTTATAAAGTTGAAGGGAGCTCTTTGGGCCGTGTCAATGTTGAAACACCCTTGCTCTTATTCCTAACTTGGCTGCTCATCTGAAGCTGGGAGAAGCTTTCTGCTGTCTACTACAGGAGCTCCCATGTGAAAATCCCATAGAGTGATACCGGGGATAATATCGAAACTGCCCTGAAATCTGTTTCCTACTCCTGAAAAGAAAGTCCTGCAAACTCTGGCATGAAGGATCTGGTAATCCCATTCCATGTGGTTTGCTTTTCAGTACAATATGTGGTGGTTTTTGATTCATGGTTCTTCACTCAATGATTTTGGACAGCACGTTTTATTTGCAGAGATAGTAGGAACTGCAGATGCTGGAGAATCTGAGATAACAATGTGTGGAGCTGGATGAACACAGCAGGCCAAGCAGCATCAGAGGAGCAGGAAGGCTGACGTTTCGGGCCTAGACTCTTCTTCAG